AAAATAAAAACTAGTTCATCGCTTTAATGATCATTAAAAGCGAAATTGAAAGATCTTTCATATCGTAAAAGCTTAAGATTTTTGCGGTAGTAAAATGTGCCTTTTCTTAAAATAATTATCATCTTACAGTAAGATTTGAAGTAAAATATAATATATACAGAATAGATTTAAAAAGAAAAGACAGTCCAAAAAAAAAAAAAAAAAGCAAAATAATACAGTAAATAAATATCAATATATGTAGGACATTACAATAAAGAGTTAAACATACATGTAAGTACGTCTCCAAAATTTTCGACTAAATGTCCATTCGATTAAATATCCATCGGCCAAATGTCCGAGTAACGAAAGCGTGAGTGGAGTTCAAATTCTAGTCAAGGACGTTGGGTTTGAACAAATAACATAGAAAGACATGAATGTCTTTTATTCAAGTCTTAATATCAGATTAGACAATTGTCAACCAGTCTTAGAGAGACCATTTTGAATTAAAAACTGGTCAGGGGTCGGGTAGACAATAAGTCGTCGTAAGTAGTTTTCTCTTCCTCTGAGATGACAATTTTTTTCCTTTTTGACTGTTCCACCTCGTTTTTATTGGATAATATTTGAAAATTTATCCTCTAGCCACTTTCATGAGGGTCGATCGAAATGGTGGCCATTTGAGAAGAGTTAGTCCACCTGATTCTCTTGACAGTTAATTTCAATATGTCTCCGCTTTTCCAATCTCAGATTTATGTTCTCTACATTTAAAATAAAATGTTTAAAATTTATCCTCTAGCATTTTCATGAGGGTCGATCGAAATTGTGGCCGTTTGAGAAGAGTTAGTCCACCTGATTCTCTTGACAGTTAATTTCAATATGTCTCCGCTTTTCCAATCTCAGATTTATGTTCTCTACATTTAAAATAAAATGTTTAAAATTTATCCTCTAGCCACTTTCATGAGGGTCGATCGAAATGGTGGCCGTTTGAGAAGAGTTAGTCCACCTGATTCTCTTGACAGTTAATTTCAATATGTCTCCGCTTTCCCAATCTCAGATTTATGTTCTCTACATTTAAAATAAAATGTTTAAAATTTATCCTCTAGCCACTTTCATGAGGGTCGATCGAAATGGTGGCCGTTTGAGAAGAGTTAGTCCACCTGATTCTCTTGACAGTTAATTTCAATATGTCTCCGCTTTCCCAATCTCAGATTTATGTTCTCTACTTTTAAAATAAAATGTTTAAAATTTATCCTCTAGCATTTTCATGAGGGTCGATCGAAATGGTGGCCGTTTGAGAAGAGTTAGTCCACCTGATTCTCTTGACAGTTAATTTCAATATGTCTCTGCTTTTCCAATCTCAGATTTATGTTCTCTACATTTAAAATAAAATGTTTAAAATTTATCCTCTAGCATTTTCATGAGGGTCGATCGAAATGTTGGACGTTTGAGAAGAGTTAGTCCACCTGATTCTCTTGACAGTTAATTTCAATATGTCTCCGCTTTCCCAATCTCAGATTTATGTTCTCTACATTTAAAATAAAATGTTTAAAATTTATCCTCTAGCATTTTCATGAGGGTCGATCGAAATGGTGGCCGTTTGAGAAGAGTTAGTCCACCTGATTCTCTTGACAGTTAATTTCAATATGTCTCCGCTTTTCCAATCTCAGATTTATGTTCTCTACATTTAAAAAATGTTTAAAATTTATCCTCTAGCCACTTTCATGAGTGTCGATCGAAATGGTGGCCGTTTGAGAAGAGTTAGTCCACCTGATTCTCTTGAAAGTTAATTTCAATATGTCTCCGCTTTCCCAATCTCAGATTTATGTTCTCTTCATTTAAAAAAGTGTCTAAATATAAAATCATAATTTTCCACTTGGGAACAGAAATTATCTCATTAAAATGTACGGAGTATCGTTTAGAAAATATACAATGACAGTTATCCCTCACTTAACGACTGGGTTTCGTCCCGACGATGTCTGTAAACGAGCTGGTCGCTAAGGGAGAAGTTATTCATGAACGCTATTTCAAGCAATCTGCGCGCGTAAATTGGTTTGTATCGACCAACTTCAGATTTAATGTCATTTTTGCACCATTTGTAACATTTCTAATAGATTTCTAAATGTTTATAGAGCATATTAGTTTACTGAACAGTAAACGTAAGAAACAAATTCGAAAATCAGTTCGATATTCTTCAGATTACTTCGGATTGCCTACTGCAAATACAATAAAAATAATTATTTTATTTTTCTGTTCATTTTATTTATTTTTAATCATTTTAAAAAAGAAAAAAAAAAGCATCAATAAAATTTTTTGCACAACGTACAATGCTGACTGGTCAGATTTTTAATTACTAATGCAGTTTTAAGGTATGCTATATTCATGGATAAAAGAATAAGTGACGTGACATTGTAGAATTGCTTTGCTCATCCTAATTTTGAAGCATTCTAAAAGAAGCCAGATATAGCCAACGGAAAAATGAAGCCATTTTGGAAGTGTATTATGTTGATTACTATTAAGAATTTTCGTCGTATCAGTTATTGACACCGTCACGATAAAAAATAAAAATAAAAGCTGCAATCATTGAACAACATCATTTAATTTATTGACACTGGGGCTTGAATAATTATGAAACAGTTTTAGCTAATTGTGAAAATAAAATAATATTTACGATCTATTATTGTCACTTCATGTATTAAAATTTCAAAGTTCAAAATTTAAGCAGATGAATGCCTTCAAATAAAATTTAGAATAATTAACACTTCCGCTGCTGTTGACGTACATATACACCCTTACGAAACGTATATTGACTGCTGTTGATGTATGTATGCATTTTCAAGACTCTATGAAATGTCAGTCCCTAATTCTAAAATAATGCTATTCCCAAGCCAGCATGGATTTATAGTATCGTACAAAGGGGCTTGTTTTGTGACGTATTTTTCTTAAATTATATTAGAGGTCTTATTTACAGGCCTTACGAGAGAAAACAAATAGTGAAAATTTATTAAGAGCTACAAAGGACAGGGAATTGTGAAGAGTCTTGATCGCTCACATCCTGAAGGGTCACGGCATACAGAAGTGATGTTATTTAACTCCATCTGTACCACAGAGTATCCGATCGAAACCAAAATGCCGTCACCCACGGGAAAGGACCATCAGCGTCATTATCCTCATTTATTTCCTGTAAATGGCCATTTCATATTTTTTCTCAAAACGAGCCAGCACAGCCGGGCCACAAGGCTATAACAATGCAGCAGTGAAAGTATTAATTAATGATTGAAGAGCCTAAAAAAATAATTTATTTCGAGTCGAAAAGGCAAATACGCAAAAATACGTATAACAGCTACTACTATTGTAAAAAAAAAATATATTTACTTATAATAAATGGAAAAGCTTAGTACAAATATTCAAACACCAATATTTTTTAAAATAATTTATATATATATATATATATATATATATATATATATATATATATATATATATATATAAATATTAAAGAAATTAGAAACCCACAAACGTTTTTTTTTGTAATGTGGATTTAAAAAAATATTAACCTTTATTTTCCATAATAAAGCATAATATGTTTTCTTAAGTCCACATTACAACCAAAAACTTTTGCGGTTTCTCTCTTCTTTTTAATATATACACTTTTCTCTCGTTGGAACTACTATAACCTCTCCCTTATATATATATATATATATATATATATATATGAAATAACGCTATATATATATATTTATCTCAAGAACCGTATAGGGTAAATTGGACGACGAAGTAGAACAAGTCTAATTGTGACGCGTTTCGTCCTTCATGAATCATCAAATTAAATTTATTATATTGGTAGGACTACGCATGCGCACGACAGAGGGGTGCTGGTAATTTGAGAAACATAGGACAAACGTTAAGGCATCTAAATAAAAGGTTATGTGAACACAAAAGAGACATTTTACAAAATGACACGTCAAATACGTTGGTTACCCACCGTAACGAGACTGACCACAATTTTGAAATAAAAAAATGCTACGCTAGTCAAAGGAGAAAATAATTCATTTCGACGTAAATGTCTTAATCGAAAGGACATCTACAGTAAATTTCCGCCCCGGCTCTGACAATATTTCACCATTCCTGGTAGATCTTCTAATATCACAGTGTGGAATATCTACTTACAAAAGAGATAGAAAGAAAAAGACTCTAAATTAATTCAGCTAGATAAAGAAAAAAAAATTCTAAAGTTCCCAGCACTCCCCTGTCTTGCGCATGTGTAGCCCTACCAACAAACAAAGCAAAGTTAGTCTGATGAAGTCCTGAAGGACGAAACGCGTCACAAGTAAACTTTTACCACTTTGTCATTAAATAATTTTAAAATGCAACTGATTTGTTTAAGAATATTTATTTACAGTAACTTTACCAGTTTTACGGTTCTATGATTTCAAAAGTTATGTTGAGATAGAGAAATGCCTGGCCGTGCCGTAATAAGTCTCAGATATATATATATATATATATATATATATATATATATATATATATATATATATATTATATATAGATTAATTCCATTCATTCCATATATATGTCTATATACATATATATATATATATATATATATATATATATATATATATAAAAAATTTTTTGATTTTCATGGTATATCTATTATGGCGGTTATTTTATTATAGTATAATATAGTTATAATAGTAATAACCGCCATAATAGAATATTCACAATGCCCCACTAACCCGTATATATATAAAAATAGCCGAGAAAAAAAACAACATGTGTGGCCTGACGATTGCATCTAGCATGAAACAGACTGTCGCCTCTAAGTGTTGACAATATGTTCACTTTTATATTTACACACATATTTATCTCTGATATTGAGCACTTTATTCCATAAATATAGACTATAGATATATTTTCTATATATATGTGTGTGTGTGTGTGTGTGTGTGTGTGTGTGTGTGTGTGTGTGTGTGTGATTATTCACTTTTTAACCTGAAAGAATCTGAGGCTTACAAACACATCACGTCGAAACACCAATTTCCATATGATCACCAAAGTTAAGCAACGTCGGCTCTGGCCAGTACCTACATGGGTGACCGCTTGGGAATACTAGGTGATGTGGGCTTGGATATGCGGGTGGTGTAAGGGACAATGGCTTGGAATTGTTAATAGCAGAGCCGTGTTCCAATTCCAGTTGGGTTCGTTATATTCACTTACATGTAAATACCCTTGAGAAAGGTATGAATCCACCTCTTCTCCCCCAATTATGGGATAATTAGTAAGACTTGTATCACTAAACATTATTATTTCTCCCCACCACAAAAAACAGAAGAAGAAAATAAAATTTAAAAAAGTAAAACTTCGTACAAAATATTCATATTTTGGCATTAAATAACCCATATAGGTTGATATATCACTGAACTTTTGTCTTTGTTGCTGAGTCTGCTCAAAAATGTTTTCATTTTAACTTCCGCAGCCACTAACCCAGCCAACACCGGATGTTCATGAAACTTTGCAGACTTTGGGAAGACATGTGACGTTATGGAGACGTTATTCTCATGTTGCAATTATTTATTTTCCTAATCTGAAACTGACCTCGTCCTGGGTATGACGATAAACTACATCCGGCAGCAAGGCCAGTACTCGGGAGATTGAAGCTTTTGAGGAGCGGAAAATCACCTCTTGCTGTTGTTCACAGGTCCACTCTGACCCAGGGTGGTAGTGTCCCAGCTATAGGCAAATAATTATCCCCCAAACACGGGTCAAAACACTATGAAAGTATAAAAAATATACTTTTATAGTAAAAATACATTTTTGGAAAAAAATCTTACCAACAATATATGTTTAAAAAAATATTACCAATAAGACATTTGATTCTTGATAAAAAATCTCTTCACATAAATGCGTTAATGAAACCTAATCTACAAATTGATTTCGTACAAAGAATACATATTCTATTCGTACGAACCTATCCTAAAAATCTTGTCGGCATTAAATAACCCATTGATGTTGATATGCCGTAAAACAAAATAAGCCAAACCTGATCTACAAACTGATTTCGTACAAAGAATACATATTCTATTCATACGAAACTATCCTAAAAATCTTGTCGGCATTAAATAACCCATTAAGGTTGATATGCCGTAAAACAAAACAATCCAAACCAAACTGATTTCGTACAAAGAATACGTACATATCCTTAAAATCTTGTCGGTATAAAATAACCCATTGGGGTTGATATCCCGTAAAACAAAATCAACCAGCCCAAATCAAACCTAAAAGTTAACGTTCATTCCCAACGTTTTCATAAATTACAAATTAACTTGCTGTATATGACACGTTCTGTGGAGGAGAGGCGTATTCAACAAAAAATTGCAAAATGCAAATTATTCATTATATCATATCCAAGTATTTGACAAAATAATTAGAGCCGATTACACAATATTCCAAGCTTAATTTAGGTTTATAGTTTGTAACCATGCAATGAGATGAAGTAACATAAACCATAGATTTATTTGCAGAATATTATTGCATTGAATTGTTACATAATTATAGTGAAATCATTGAGATATTTTTGTCAAAAGCATTTCACTTTTGGTCATATATTAATTTAAAATATTCCTTTTTACAGGCTTTATTTTTGAAATGGAATAAGATCATTCTAAATTTCAGAATTTCGCTATTGCCTATCAAAAATGACTGGAAGAAAATGATCAAAAAACAACAATGGAAAAGAGAGGTAACAAAATGTAAATGAAATAGCTCCAGTTTGTTCAACTTAGGAAACTTAGCATTGCAGCCAAAGTATTCTAAAATGCTGCCAATAACAAAGGAGAAAATGAAAAATACCAAACAACAAATCGAATATAGCATCAATTTTGTTTTGCGACTAGTCGCACTATACGGTTTATCAGTAAGAAGAGCCCGAAATGCAATTTACAGGTCGGGAACACTAGAATCAAGCAGACGTGGAACTTTAAATATCTGGGAAGCGTCTTGACAGAGGACGGTAAGTGCGACACTGAGATCCGTAGATCCGTATTGGGATGGCCAAGGACACATTCCAAAAGCTGGGCAGAGTATTGCAAGACAGGAGGATAACTTTGGTAAAGAAAAGAATACTGAGCTGTTACGTGATATCTGTCCTCCTTTACGGCAGCGAATGTTGGACGATTTCCTCATTGATGAAGAAGAGGCTCGAGGCGACGGAGATGTGGTTCTACAGAAGGATGCTAAGGATATCATGGACAGATGAGGTTTTAGAGGGTATGCAAACAAGGAGGAAGATTATACTTAACATCAGGAAGAGCTGAAGTTTTTGGGACACAATGAGGAAGGAGGGCCTGGAGAATCTGATACTCACGGGTCGAATTGAGGGAAAGAGAGACAAAGGAAAACAACGCATAACATTAAGCAAATGGATGATAGAACGTGGTCTGGGGGAGGCAGCAGAGGGAAGAAACTTGTTGAGAGCTGCAATGGATAGAAGGAGGTGGTGGAGAGCCATGATCACCTACGTCCTGAAAGGGTATGGCACATAAAAATAAAAAAAAAGAAGATATACGTTGAGTAATTAAATCAAGTGCCGTACGCGACTGCATAAGCTGTGAAAATATCCAAGGTCGGCGATATGCGTATATACATTCGACTTGCTATGTTCACAGTTTTGTTTCACTGGCCGTAATCGAATTCAACAAAGAATAATGTCGATTGTTATTCAAGACACTGATTGGGAAACAGCAAACAATACGATTTCTCACTAAATCCGTAATGTCATCCTTCGGGTTCGAGAAGGTGAATTGCTATCTTACTAACTTCCGGTCACGGAAAGAAGACCCTTACATTCACGGACCGTTTCAGCAATTTCTGACTCTTCACTGTTCGCTGGTCCCTTGCTCACTGACTGCTCCTGACTGACCGATCATTATATGGACACCGTCTGGGGTTCCACCACCCTTATCCGTTGACATGTGTTCCGGTAAAAGGAGACCACCCATTCAGCTTTTGGGTCGTCAATTTTTCAAAGAACTCTACTTTTATGATTATCTAAAATCACTAACAAAATTTTATGTTTGCGAATTCAAAGGCGAGCTAGAGACAGGTTTCCTGAAAACTCTGGCCATTAAATTTACTTAAAAGATCAACTGGAGACGAAATTCCCATATAAACTCTGATAATTAAGTTGACTTAAAATGAAAAAGAATCTATCTATTTATCCCCTAAGGATGTGTGAGAAATCGTATTGTTACACTTGGGCGATCATGTCTCTTTCGATTCATAACTGATTACGCAGAAGATTTCCCGCAGTAGGCTGATTTTTATTCTACGTTAAACTGGCTGCCAACCAAGGCTATAGGGCCAAACTCGTTCTGCTATTCAACCCATAGTTGCAATATGATAACATACCGTATATCCTCGAGGGTAGTGAGAGTTTTTATAATCATTTTTTACGTATAGAATAGTAGGGATCTACGCAGCTAATTTTTTGAAAAGGTTAAAAGTAATGCATTTTCGGTAAACGGTTGTACTATACGCAGGAAAAAATTTTCTAGAGGGTTAAAATTTATGTATGTTCAGTGACCTTAACCTACATGGTCAGCCTATATTCTCACGTTAACTATAAAGGTAATCAAACATATCTAACACTTTCGCCCCAGCCCCTCAACCTCTCTGGGTTGAGGTGTCTACTCGGTCCTAACCGAACTTAAGGGAGTGGCTGTAGGTCCCCTGAGCATCCGTAGATTATTCGACCGGTCCACTGGCTTAATCCTGTTTCCTGCCCACGTTGTGTTTGGTTTGATCCAGAAAGCAGAAGTGATGTTCATCCATTCACGGTCGACTGAAAAGGTAGACACGGCCGGAGAGTCTGCACTAAGAAATTTAGAACGCATCAAAAAAAAAAAAAAAAAAATTAATATCTGCAGTAAGCCGGACAAAGAACTATTCAATGATTGAATTGTTAATGTCTTTTATATAGCAGAAAAGAATAGTATAGAAAAGAAACGGGTTACAGAAAAGAAAAGTAATTGACGTAAAAACACTGGATTAGAGAGAGAGAGAGAGAGAGAGAAAGAGAGAGAGAATTATGATTAACTTGATATACGACTCTTGCGATGGGGGAATAAGATTTCTGTGCGCGGCTTAAAGTTTATAGTGGCGTTCCTCCTTAGCAGTAGTAACAGTAGTAGTAATATTCGTGGTAGCAGAAGCAGTGGTACTTATATCAACAGTACATGTTAGCGGACGCTTCGTTCCAATCTCTGATATAAGGTATTTGTTGATTTTAAGTGGCATACACACTGAAGGAAGTTTTTTTCTCTTTATGAGGCAACAAAAGAGAAGAAACCATGGCTACGTAGGTGGTAGGCTCAGCTTAAAGAACCTCCTGTTGTCAGACATGAACGAAAACAAAAGTACATCTAAATCTTCGTATCGGATATTTTACGGTAAGTGGTTTTTCTCACCATTTTGTACGAAAAAGAATGAAGACCATTTATTTGCTTTATAATATCTCCAGGATGATGTCCAGTGCAGCCATTTCTGATTACGTTAGGGCGACTAGATTTGCTCAGAAGCTGGGGTGGCATTACGAAAAAAATCAGGTCTTTCACACACACACATACACACACACACAAAATCAGAGGTCGCAGTATACATGAAGTAGACTTATACACGAGTACGTTGTGGGGGTTCTACTAAAAAACGATTTTGTAACCTATATGTAACGTTATGAAAACGTAGAAACGTTATTTTGCTAGCTGACAAGGCCGAACCTTCTTGCCTATTGAAATGTCCCCCAAATTAGAAACAGTAACTTGATAATATGTATCTTCTCCCTTCGTCTGAATAACGGTAGTTATATGAAGTGACATTGATTTTCCTGGAATTTATTCAAATGTTTCGTTTCAACCACAAACAATGGAAGAATAGTAGGCAAAGTATTAAGAAACAGGAACATTTCGTTAGAAAAGAAAAGTGCAGTGAAATCTCACGCAAAATCATTCCTCCTGTATGGCAGTGAATGCTGGATAATGTCTTCACAGGTGAAGGATGCTGAGAATACCAAGTTTTAGAGAGCATGTAATAAAAAAGGACATTTATACTTAACATCAGGAAGAAAGA